GCCATTTCCTGGGAAGAGGGATCAGCAACTTAGTTCCTGTTCCCACTTCTAGCCCAAGTATCTCATTTCAAGGTCCTGGATGACAAATTGCTGCTGCTCCTAAGTTGTTGTAAGACCATCCCCCTTAACAATGAAATCATGGAGGAGAGGGTGGATCTGGCATGTATTTCTGAAACTTGATCAGGCTAGGATGAATGGATTGCTTGTTGGAAATTTGCCTGATTAGGTTTTGGGTGCTGCAGCAGATGCCACTCCCCAAAAAGGGGAAGGGGTGATGAATGAGTGGTAATAATCTTCTGAGAGACCTTAATAGTGACTAGATGTCCTGCTCTCAGGTGACTGGATATGAATAAAAGTTTTGCATGCTGCTGATGTTCTTCACACCCTGCTGTCCAGTGGCAAAATGGAATGAGATGACTGAGTGAGTTGTAGAGATATCTAGGATTCTTTTGAACCCGTGGAATCTGAAAAAGTGGATAGGTTTCTCTGTAGTATGAATTCAGCCATCTGCAGGCTAGATCCCTGCCCCTCATGGCTTGTTTAAATTGCCAGGGAGGGAACAGAGGGCTGAACTTGAAGAGTGATAAATGCTTATTTGATGGAAGGGAATGATTCACCACCTTGACAGAGGTGGTATGCACTATACCCATTTTTACACCTTTATCCCAAGAGGAGATATGGCAGAGGTCCTAACCAGAGTCCGTAGACTGTGGGTGATGAATGGGATCAAACAGATTAATATTAAATCCCAGGAAGATGGAAGATGGAATATCAAGAAAACACATGAATCCAAATTTGTTTTGGCTCCTGACTGGGGTTGCACTCTTTAGAAAGAGCAGTCGGAGGCCATATGGGGGTTATTCTGGACTCCTTGATCAGCAGGTGGAAGTGAGGGCCAGGAGAACATTTGCCCAATGTCAGCTGATGCATCAAATGTGACTATTCTTAGAACAAGTTGCTTTAGAATCAGTAATTCATGCCCTCATCACCTTGCCTTTGGATAACTGTAATGTGCTTTACTTAGGGTTGCTTCTGAAGACTATTCAGAAACTGCAGTTGCTTCAAAAGGTAGTTGGCTGCCTGATGACAGGTCAGGGCTGGTTTAGCAGAATAACATCAATATTGTAACAGCCACGTAGGTTGCCAGTAGATGTCCAGATAGAATTTGGTTGTGACCTATTAAGCCCTTTATGGCTAATTATCTGCAGGACCATATATTCCAAATAGAGTCTGCCTACCCTGTGCAGTCTATACAGGAAGGCATGCTTCCGATTCCCTCTCTCAAGGGAGTTAGCAGCGTAGAGAACAGAAGCAAGCTTTTTAGTGGCCATATTAGCTCTGTGACATATTGGAATATTTGTTCCTTTTCCAAGGTTAAAAGAGTCCTTTCCTTGTTACCATTTAGGAAAAATGAAAACTATCCTCTTGCAGCAGGTCTTTGGAGTACAGAGCACTGGTTGTGTTGGCTCCTATGTACGACATCTAGTTACTGCATTTTTTCTGTTCTGGCTTTCTGTCTGAATTTTATGCCTTTATGCTTTGTTTTATGTTTGATGAGTATGAGCTACCCAGAGTCTATAATTGGGGTGGATATAAAATTTGTAAAATAATTTTTTAAAAATCTGTGATACGGTGTGATTGTCTTTAGTAACAATCCTTCAGGAACCCTTTACATAGGAGCTGGAACCTTGATATTGCAGGATTTCAGATTGCATAGCAGCCTTTGCATATATGTGAAAGCTTTTTGCTGCAGACAATCACTCTGTGTCATAGATGACTACCTGTTCACTGAAGTCACCAGCATGAATGTGAAGATGGAAGGGCTGTTTGGTGGTCCACCTATCAAGGTGTCAACTGAACAGGCTAACAAAGATTGTCATTTAAACCCTTCATCCATCATAGGCACATTTGCTTGCTTTAAACAAATCAATATTTTCTCAGCCTATGTTAAGAATTGGCATGCTTATATTGTCTAATGTAAAAATTAATGATCACATCTGCAAAACATTTTATGCACTTTAAAGCACTATATAAATGCTAAGTATCTGTTTATTATTCTGGTTAACTTTGCTGTGCATCTGTAGCCATTTGTTTTCTCTGAAATGTTGTAGGGGGTGAGGTATTGCTTTCTTCTCTCAGCTATCTATAACCTTGAGAATATAAATTAAAACATGTATAGCATCAGGAACACACTATATCCTTGGGTCTCAATTCCAGAATTTCCACACTGACTCTCTAAATGATACTGGGCTTCCCTGCACATGTATTCTTCTCAACTTAAATGCTGAAGTTATCTCCAAGCCAATGATATTGATGCTAGGACAATGAGCTATATTGAAGACAATATTATCATTACTTCAGGACAGTAACTGATAGGCTTTCCAATTTTAATTGTTCAACAATTATCAGTTATGGTAATTACATTTGGCTTGCAAATGATTATCTTTCAAAAAATCCCAACGTTGATATTTGTTTGTGTAACCCTGTGATAATAATTCTTTAAACTTTTAAGAACCGTTCTTCCTAGCATTTCACAGATGAAAAGAGGATGCCCCTTTTGTAAAACCTCTCTCATCATGCCCTGACCTACTGCTGAAGAATATATAATTTATCAAACATTGCTCTATTCCGCTATTCGCTTAAAAGCAACACTGCATTCCTTTCTAGCAGTAGCATCTACAGGATGGGGACAAGGGTGGGCAAATGACAAAAAGAGCTGTCACGATGCAAGCTCTGCTCCCTTTGTACCCATTTGATGAAAACATCAGATCCTGTGGATGCCTCTGGTTTACTGGATTAAAGATTAAAACATAGACTCCACTGACAGCTTTATTACAATATTCCTGAGTAGATCTAGTGTATAAACTAATAGCACATATATGACCTGTGCACTTCAACAGAGGCACATCCTTTCTCCACGCTCAGAAATGTAGTATACCTTATGACCTCATCCTACATTCTTTGTTCTGACCTTCCCTACTTTGGCACAATCAAAGTCCCTTCCCTTTTTACACACAGCACAGGAGGCATGTAAAAAAGGGATGAGGTTTGATTCCACAGTCATGGCCACCATCTTGACTTTTCTGACTAACTCCTGGGTTCATTCCTGAAGTCTTGTATATACAGCTCAATTGTTTAGTTTCCATTCTTCAGGCCTAGCTTAAAATAGCACAAGAAATAGCAATAAAAGAAAGAATTATGTTTTTAATACGTAAGTGCCTGAGACTGAAAACAATTTCAGAATAGAAGGGAAAAAAACCTGGGGAAAAAAATAAGGTTAATTCGTACCTGACAGCAATTTCTTTAATTGGACAGATTTTTAAATAGTACTTTAAAAGAAGTAATTAGTGAAGACTGATATATAAGATCATTTTTGAAATAATAGATTTGTTTTATCCATACTGAAAAAATAGATAATAAGGATGAAGCAAACAGTGACATTGCCAGTTACACTAATAATAGGTCCAAACATACATATAATGGCTTTTGATACTAATTTTCCCAGAATGATAAAATCTGGGGAATTAGCCAAAGCTCCATAACTTCAGTCGGCTAATGCATAACCATAAACTTAAATTCTATATTGAAGGAGCCAGGCTTTCCCTAAATTAGGGAACATTATTTTCAGTGCAAAAAACTAAGGCAATACTAAGGTTTTTTCTTTATATAACTTTCAGGAGAAAAAAACTGTGAAAGCTGTTTCTCATATACCTACTCCAGATCCAGATTTTCTTTGTATTCAAGGAAGCTTGGATGCACATATAGAATCTGGATACAAAGTTTTCCCACTCCCGTAAGTCCTTTCTTACTTTCTGTACATCAGGCAGAACTGTACTGCATCCCTGTCCACTGAATATGTACTGTTGCCTACAGCGTTGCAATATTTTAAGAAATCAATACTCTCTTACTGTATACCTTATTTTTCATCTCCATTTTCCCTCTGGGCTAATGTAAAAATATGTGCATTTCCTTTACAATACGGTTTGCAAAAGCTTAACTGCAGAAATACAATGAGTCTGAATCTCATCCATTCAAATTTGCATCAAAAAATGGTTTTCCATCAATTGGGCATGTTCCAGACATGTTGCATCTACAATTCCTATAATTCCCTGTATTCTTAGGGATCATGGACAATGTCTGGCTAGGAATTCTGGGACCAGTAGTCTCATCACATCTGGAAAGCACTAGATTAGTAAAGGCACTCCTGGATGGTTTCAAGGTATTTTGGAGATGTGAAGGAAGGAAGGAAGGAAGGAAGGAAGGAAGGAAGGAAGGAAGGAAGGAAGGAAGGAAGGAAGGAAGGTTGGTTCTGACCATACATTAAAGGTAGCATGGACATACTATCATATTGTCAGGGAGGAATGGGCTGTATGACCTAATTCAGGCACCATACTAAGCAATAGCCTGCCTGACCATAGTTTGTTAAATAAAGTAACATTAGCTGAATTCATAAACAAATAGACATGTTCAGTATTTATTCATCAGATGATACTTAAATCAAAGAAACCGGTTGGGTTGTAAGAATGGGCTGTATGACCTAATTCAGGCACCGTACTAAGCAATAGCCTGCCTGACCATGGTTTGTTAAATAAAGTAACATTAGCTGAATTCATAAACAAATAGACATGTTCAGTATTTATTCATCAGATGATACTTAAATCAAAGAAACCGGTTGGGTTGTAAGAATGGGCTGTATGACCTAATTCAGGCACCGTACTAAGCAATAGCCTGCCTGACCATGGTTTGTTAAATAAAGTAACATTAGCTGAATTCATAAACAAATAGACATGTTCAGTATTTATTCATCAGATGATACTTAAAGCAAAGTACGGTGCCTGAATTAGGTCATACAGCCCATTTAATGCAAAGTGTGAACCATTATTTAGGGATGAGGGAAATGGCTAGCTTGCCTCCACCCTTACATTTAGTAAATTTAGAAGAACTGGCAAATTCTTAACAAACAGGGAATAAATCTCACACTTTAAAAGTTAGTGACTTACAGTAGCAAGTTTTTGGACATCTTCATCAGATGCTCCCAGAGAGGCCAAACCGATCTCTTGAGAAAACTGGGCAAATTTGGGGTCAGCAAGCAGAGGCACGTGTCCCAGAAGTTCATGGCATGTATCCCTGCCAAAGAATAAAAATACAATGTTAGTATATGTCTGAAAGTATTGTGATATAAACTCACATAGAGTACTGCAATAATCCCCAAATAGTATGTTCAGATGTTCTTTTTTAAAAATGAAAGAGGACTATCATAAAGATTGCTTTCAATGATCTTTGATTTGCAATAGTAAAACAGCAATTTTTATTCATTTGTTTATTTATTTTTGCTTCTCACCCAACCTTATACTGTTTTATCTTTGACAATAAAAATATGAGTCTAAAACACATAAAATGCCAACCAATTTTCAAGGAAAGAAATGCTTCTATTTAATTTTTTAAAATCTCTCTTACTCTTCATAGCTTTTAAAAACCTTCCCACTGTTTCTTTGCTCAAGCAAAAATAGTACTTGTGTTTTATAAATGTGTGTTTATGTATGGGAATGTCGGTGTGGATGTATTCATTTCTACATCAGATTCCATTGTAATTTTTTTTTTTTTACTATTATATTCAGTTCCCCATTATATTTCTGATGCCCCCCCCCCCCCACCCTGATATATGATTACATTATCCCACCCCACCACTTTTTTTTCTAATTGCCCCAATGTGGTGTTTTGGT